AAAAGTCGGGGGAAAAGTCGGGGGAAAAGTCGGGGGACATGTAGGGGGGAAAGTCGGGGGAAACTTGGGGAAAAAATGGGAAAAGTCGGGGAGAAAGTCGGGGAAAAATCCGGGAAAAGTCGGGGGAAAATCCGGGAGAAAAAGTCGAGGGAAAAGTCGGGGGAAATGTCGGGGGGAACTTGAGGAAAAAATCCGGGGAAAGTCGGGGGAAATCGGGGAAAAAGTCGGGGGGAAATCCGGGGGGAAATCGGGGAAAAATTCGGGAAAAAGTCGGGGGAAAATCCTGGGGAAAATCCGTGGGAAAAGTCGGGGGAAAATCTGGGGGGAAATCGGGGAAAAATCGGGGGAAAATCCGGGGGAAAACTCGGTGGAAAGGTCGGGAGAAAAGTCGGGGAAAAGTCGGGAGAAAAGTCGGGGGGAAATCCGGGGGGGAAAGTCGGGGAAAAAATGGGAAAAGTCGGGGAAATTGGGGGAAAATCGGGGTAAAAAGGGAAAAATCGGGGAAAAAGGGAAAAATCGGAGGGAAAAAAGGGAAAATCGGGGGGAAAAGGGAAAAATCGGAGGGAAAAAAGGGAAAAATCGGAGGGAAAAAAGGGAAAAATCGGAGGGAAAAAAGGGAAAATCGGGGGAAAAAGGGAAAGTCGGGGGAAAAAAGGGAAAACTCGGGGTAAAGTCGGGTCTGGCCCGGCCGGGACTCACAGGCCCGCGAGCAAACATCCTGGGAGGTGCCGTGGGCCAGCCAGCGGCTCCAGTCGCCGTCGCCCTCGTAGAGCATCACCCTGCGCTGCGCCTCGTGGCCGAAGTTGAAGCGCAGCGCGGTCCCGGCCAGCGCCAGCAGCGCCCCGGGGCCGCACTCCCAGCGCTGCAGCCCCGAGCGCTCCCGGCACGGGCCCAGCAGAACCAGCGCCAGCCGGACCGGCCGGGCCACCCCCGCGCACAGCCCCGAGCCCAGGTGCCGCAGCCGCCCCCCCGGCAGCCACTGGAAGCGCTGGGCCAGCGAGGAGGGCGAGCAGGGCGACAAGGACAGGGACCGGCCCGAGGCCACCACGCAGCCGGAGTGGCGCTCGTTGTAGAGCAGGAAGGAGCCGGAGGCGGCGGGGACACAGGGACACCGCGGGGACAGCGGGGGGGACACCGGGAGCAGATCCGGGGACACCGGGGGGGACACCGGGAGCAGATCCGGGGACACCGGGGGGGACACCGGGAGCAGATCCGGGGACACCGGGGGCTGGCCGAGGGGCTCCGGGAAGAG